AACCATGTTTTATATGTTGCTGATGTAACACCATAACACATTAAATATCTTGAGGATATAAAAATATATATCCTGGATAAGTCTCAATACATTGCTTATGGTAGATTACTGACTACTGTTCTTTAACAATGAATGTAAAGCTAGGTAGCAGAAAAAAAACTTTAAAAATATTTATTCTACCCTTCCCCCTGCCCAGACCAGACCCCAAGTTCCTGCCCATGAAGGCCTCCTCCACTCTCCAATGGCCATAATTCCACAGGCACACAAATGAATATGGGAACATGGCCGCTTCTGGCAGAAATGCCTCTGGACTGAGAACTAAGCTACCGCCCATGCCACCCCAGGAAGAGAAGGGTGTTTGTCCCTGTACTTTATCCCCCTCGGCAGCAGCATGGCAACTGACATCTTTCAGTCTATCGGGCAGAGAGGTATGGCTTGCAGTGACAGGACAAGCAGCATCTCTCGGGATGGGGGTCGGAACTGGCCCTTACCCCAGCCCCCAGGACCAGAACCCCAGTCGCCAACCACAAAGGCCTCCTCAGCTCCCGAATGGCCATGATTCCAGAGGCACTCAAACCAATCTGGAAACCTATCCACTTCTGGCAGAAATGCCTCTGGATTTAATTACTAAAATACCAAAAATCAAAAATTGTGTGGCCGCAACAGCAGCCGCGCAACATCATTCGCTCTTCATTTTCAGGAATAGAAAACAAATTATTTAATGATGCCTTCTCGGCAGGTGTGATAGATGGGGGGAAATTCCAAATAATAATAGTGGGTCTTTTGTTGAAAATTGAATGTAATCAAAGTAAAGAGAAACTAAAGTGAAAATCAGGGGGAGTGGCAGGATGGGGGTATACTGGGGTTCTTGGTCGTTGAACATGTGCACTGGTGAAGGTATGGGCGTTTGATCATCATACGACTGAGACTCAAACCTGAAAACTTTGTAATTATTCTGATGGTGATTAAATTAAAAAACAAATTATTCTAGGAATTGGAGAGACTGTTAAAGCTACCAAGAATTTCAAGGGCAATAAAAGGTTATTATTCATCTATGTATCCATCCACTCATTTTTAATCACTTAGTAACTTCACTTGATCATTTGACATCCTGTCACTCATGGATTTTCTGGAGCGGGCGCCAGTAATGTCTCCATTCATCCCTGTTGCATGCTAATGTAACCCAATGGCATCTGCTCATTCTAGGAATACAGCAGCCAGTAGCCCGGCAGACCTCCATTACCTCCACTACCTCCACTACCCAGCCGCAGACGCCCTCCAAGACGCTTTCCAGATTGCGTGGCTGCAACATCATAAAACACTTAATACAAGATTACCACACCATATTTGAATGCGTTGAAATTTGGTTTGAAGCATGGGAACACCTGTAAGGTCGATTAGAGGCCGCCTAAAAGCCTCTATCCCTCTCGGGAGCCTTGCAAGCTATCCGTGGTGTATTCAATATACAAAAACCAGTAAATACAATGGGTCTCTTTCCCCTGACCCTGAAAGAGCCACCACCAGTAACTTAATATTTTTAAAACAGGGTAGAATGGTTATTAAAAAAATCTAGATTCACCAACAGAACTAGAGAGTGCAAGTTACAATACAATCCTTAAGTTAACAGAAGACATTAACAATTCACACAGAGAAAAGTAAATTTAAAAGGGAATTAATCACTCTCTTGACATACAGGTGTATTAAAATAATGAAATTTGCATATATACTCATTAGTATAGTGCAAAAGTTAAAAGTACTATTAAATCATATACTGTCTTGGTTTGAAATCTAGATCTAGTAACAAAACTGTATTAATCACAATAAAAAGGTATTTTTTGAGACTAAATTGAGAACTTGATAATATTTTTTGAGAGACCAGTGAAGGTATCACCAGGAGAATTTAAGCTCAGGAATGAAAAATAAATAAGAGAGGCAGAGATCAAGTGGGAATATAGAAAAATGGAGATAACTTTTTAGGCAGAAAAATTATTGGTGGAAATCTAAGTATTTTCATCTTTTTTGAGAGATTAAATTGTGGCAGTAAGTGAAACTAATGGGTCAGAGAAGGATAGAAGTCTTGAGAAGAAAAGTTAAGAAATGCTAAAGATGCTACAGAAAAGTGAAAAAGCTCTGAATAGGAAGGAAAAAAATAATTCACGAAATGGGAATAAAGGTCTTACTGAGGTAAGATCTGACATGTCATTAAGACATCAATCACTCAGTTCACCAAATAGAAGAAAACAAAAAGCCAGAGTGCTAATGGCAGAATTATAATTCTAAAGAGATCAAGTTTTAATCTGTAAAGCCTAGGACATACAAAAGATTTTCAAATGAAATCAAATGATGAACATAAGATATTCAACTCATACCATCAATGGAGGGAGAGAAAGAAAAAAAGACATCAGGTTTTGACTCTTTCACTATTGTACACAATTATGCACATTTCTAAGGTTGTTCTAAATGCATCTTTCTGATATATTTTGAGGGTTAAAACTAATTGTCTATATTCACTCATACTTGAATTTAATTTCAGCAACCTAAAAATTAGCATAGTTTTACATTTCAAGACCTAAAATCTCCTATTTTAAATCTCTACTGTATCTAAGATAATCTAAGCCACGCAAAGCACACATACTTAAAAGACTAAAGTACATCATTATTTCAAAAATAACTTTCTGAGAAAAGATTATCTAAACTTTTTTTGGCAAATCCAGACTGATATGGTCTTAACTAGTTTACACAGTACAAAAAACTGTGATGTTCTTGCCTTTATTTTTTAAACTAGAAACACATAGTTACGGATGGGGACAGTGAATAAAAATACCAAGTAGATACCAGCTTCCAATATACAGACTCAGAATTATGTATGGCTATGTGCACAAAAATATTATCTTAAATTATCTATTCTAATTTTCTTTCAGAAAGAATATTGTTTCTTATGTTTCAAACTTCATTTACTCAGTGTGATAGCTAGAATATTCATTTTGAATAACTTGCCTAGAAAACTAATACATCTTCGACAATAAAAGCATTTACAAATAGTTTAAGAAAATTCTTAAAATGTACCTACTATAAAAATCATAACCATTATGACATAGCTGAATTTTCATGATATCATCACCTTTCTTCAATTATAAATTAAATCAACAAATTAGGTTTCACATGTGGAATTCAGTCTTGACTATTATTTAATATTATATGAAAGTACTAGTAGTTATTAAAACATTAATAATAGGTTGGTTGATTTGCCTAACAAAGATGAGAGATTTGTCTTCATTGGATTCTTAACATGGTCTTTTTTTATATATAAAAAAGGTATAACTGATATTAATATATTTTAATATGGGTAAGTCAAATCTATCATATTTTGAATTTAAATGGATTTTAAAAATAACAAAATGCCAATGGAATACTATGAAAAACATCATAACATATTTTGGATGAAGCAGAGCAGTGTTTCAGTATTATATTCAGTGGTAATTAAAAAGCTATAGTATGCTGATATGAAATGGTCAGGAAGGAAATTTGATAGCAATTAAAGGACTATTCATTTACATAATGAACAAACAGGTACCTAATTGAAAAGTAGATTTTTATAATATAATGAATAATAATGCCCTCCTTATCATATCTTGAGTAAAATGTATGGATAATGCTAAATACATATTGCTGTGTTCTCTAATATTTAATGTAAAACTACTCTCCTATTGTACACTTCCGAAGAAAAGGGGATAAGGAAAGAAGTCATTCCAATAATGTTTTAACTAAACAAATACAACAGATATATTTGTGATAATTTTTCCCACAGCTCAAAGTATTTAAAATTTTCAATTAATGATATTCTATAGAGAAAATGATCATCCTTCTACTTTTATCTGACATATTACTGCACAAAATAGTCTCGAGAATAGTGTCATTCATCTACTAAAATCTTTTTTCTAAATTTAAGGAAGCCAAATTTCAAGACCAAGAAAAATATTTTTCTAACAGAAATATTTTGTAAGAAGAAAAATACACAGTGTAACAACATATACTATTTTTCATCTATCTCATATATAAAATTAAATGCCAACACTGATGTGGAATATATCCCATAAGATTTCTTTAAACCTTTGAAGGATAAAAATTTCTTTTCCAAAAACATGAAAAATAATAAATTTTTGAATCACTATTGTATTAATTACAATATAAAATTCATATGTACTTATTTTCACACCCACCAACTGGCCCCCTGGTGCCATGTAATTCCATCAATGGTCAAGACTCAGGGACTATAAAACCCAGCTCCCGGAAGAGAACAGTTCAGTTTCCTGCCCCTGTGCCTGGCTGTCCTTGCCAGGGCCCCTTGGAGGGGAGTGGGTTGAGCTTTCCTCGCCGCCCCGACCAGGGCTCCGGCAGCCGAAGACCTCCAGAACCAGCCACCACCATGCTGAGACCACTCTCCGCACACATGAAGGTACCGGCAGAGGAACAAAGGCAAGCGGGTCCCAGGGCTGAGATCTCCAAGCCTACTCGGATCGGGGCTGAGTATCCTCCACCCAGATCCTCCGAATTCCAGTAGGCGGGGTCACACCCACTAACTGGCCCCCTGGCGCCCTGTAATCCCATCGATGGCCAAGACTCAGAGACTATAAAATCCAGCTCCCAGAACTGTGAAATATTATTATGACATCTTATTATCTCATTCCTACTTTGGACAAACTGGCAGGCTACTGAATGTAACCTGCCCACACGGCAGAGTCTGGCAAACTCCCCATGGCGTACCCATTATGCCAAATACCAGTAACAATGATGGGTCTCATTATCCTAAAGAGCCTTGAATATAGCACTTTCTTAAAAATCTCAGGGCTAAAATGATGGAGACATTACTGGGACCTGCATGAGGCAATCGATGAATAACAGGATGGTCCTGACCGTGATTCATGATGTACTTATTTTCAATGTTTCTAACAAATATTACTTCCCAACCAAATTTAAGTGCTTTTATGTGACAGACATACCACAACTCCAAATTGTTCAGGCTCACAGAGGTCATCATACTCATTTTTCAACTGTGCTAATTCATTGAGTACCTTCTGCTCTGGAAGATGTTTCACAAGGTTCTAAAAAGAAACAAAAGACAATAGTATTATATTATTAGTATTATCAAATTTTATTGTAAAACTAATTGATTACATAGAGCAGTAATAACATTTCAAATTATGACTGTTAACAGTGTCAATTTGTCAACACCTTCTCCAAAACTATCTAAAATTATACTATAATTTATTAGGAATAAATATATAAACTTGTTTTGTTGATTATAATCACAAGAATAAATGTTAAATAAAATAGAACATAGCAATAAATGGCATTCTAAAATTGAATAAGCTTGCATACTTAAACCATACTATACTTGAAGATAACTACCTAATAGTCAATCAAAACAGCAAATACTATGAAGAATTAACCCTTAATAGAATTCACAAAATTTTGAATCATTTTCAAACTTTTGAACAAAATCAAGTCTATAAAATTCCCCCATTATTTAGTATCTGTATTTAAATATTTTCACACTATACCTCTAATTTAACTGTAGAAATAAAAGTCACAAAGTCTAATACACATACAAACTCTGTCCAAAATACTAAAGATCACTTAATGATCTTCAAACTCATATATCTTCCTCTTTTTATACAGTATTACCTATCATTACATTCTTTATTTATTATAGAGATCATACCATTTTCATACTATCGTGAGAAAAATATACTTAAATTGATAAGGTCATTAGACAAAAAGAAGGATATTGAGGGAGGAAGACATACTAGGTGGGGCTCAGGGACACTCCTGGCAAGCTCATTGGAACCAGATTGGGTGCTGGGGATTAAAACCGAGTGGCTATGAACAAGGCAAATGCCCTATCAATTGTTCCATTGCTCTGGCCTCCAAAGAAGGATATTCTATATTAAGTTGCAATCCACCAAGAAGTCATGACTACTAGGAGCATACGCTTAAAAAGAACAGGGCTTTGTAATATATGAAACAGAAACAGACAAAATTGAAAGAAGAAATAATTTAACTATAACAGTTTGATAATGTGACAGCCAGATTTGATAATTAGAACATGGAGACAAGATGCATAAGGAGTAAACAGAGAGTCCTAAAAACATTACAAAGAATTAGATATATGTAAACCATTCTACCCAATACTAGCTGAATGAAAATCTATTTTACAAATGTATGCAGAACTATCCCAAAACTGATCACAGGTCAAACAACCAAACCAAACCTAAAGATTTTTAAGACAGTGAAATCATAGTGTTTTTTTTGTGATCATGAAAGTATTTAAATAGAAAGACATAACAGATGAAAAGTGGAAAATATACATATATGAATAAATAACACACGTTTTAACAATTATTTATGGAATACATCAAAAGGGAAATTAGAAAATATCTTGAAATGAATGAAAATACAAAATGCAAAAACATATGGAGTTCAGTAAAAGCAGTAGTAAGAGGTTAAATTGTAGCAATAAACACCTCTATTAAAGAGAAGAAAGGTCCCAAATAAATATTGTAACTGTATACTTTAAGGAATTAAAGTGTGTCAAGAAAAATCCAAAGTTAGAAACAGGAAAGGAATGATAAGAACTAGGTGAGAGATTTCTGAAAATGAAAATAAAATAAAATTTTGTTTCAAAGTAGAAAATTCTGCAACTAAGTTGAGTAAAGAAAATATAAGAGAGATTATAATAATTATCATCAGAAATAAATTAGGAAATTCATAATGATTTCCTAGGGGAAAAAGTTTATAAGAAGGTATTATGCAAATAATGTAAATAATCTAGATATTTAAATAACTACAAAAACATACAACACTGGAACTAAGTAAAACCAAGAAAAACCTGGAATTTATAAAAATTATTGAATCAGTAATCAAAAAATCAAAATTAAAAAAAAACAAGAAGCTATGGATTCACTGAGAAAATTCACCTATATATTTAAAGAATAATAAACTGCAATCCTTTCCAAACACTTCAAATTCAAGAAGGAAAAGTCCTTAACTCTCTTTGGTGCAGCAATTCCTGATAGCAAAGTTGGTCAAAGAAATGAAACTAAAACTGTATGTTAAGGCCAGAGACATAAGAGACAGAGACAGGGCCAAATGAAAATAAAGCTCTAAGAGAGGAAATGTACTGTGGATAAGGTACCTGCCTTGCACTCAGCTAACTCAGGTTTGATCCCTGGCTACATATGGATTTCCAAACTCTTCCAGGAATGATCCTTCAATGCAAAGTCAGGAGTAAGTCCTGAGCATAGCCAGTAGTCACTGCTCCCCCCCAAAACCCTATAAATCAATACCCACTAATAGCTAATTATGTAACGCATAATAACAGCACAAGTGGCCATCCAGTTTTGCCAGCACAATTTGCAATACCCTGGGAATATATCCCAGAGAGGCATAAAAGTATAGTCGAAGTGAATCTGCAATTGTCTGTTCATTGCAGCACTCTTTACAATAGCCAGAATCTGGAAAATACCTGAGTGCCCGAGAACAGATGACTGGTTAAAGAAACTTTGGTACATTTACACAATGGAGTACTATGTAGCTGTTAGAAAAGACGAAGTCACGAAATTTACATACAAGTTGTACTACATGGAAAGTATCATGTTAAGAGAAATGACTCAGAAAGAAAGGGATAGACATAGAAAGACTGCATTCATCTGGGGAACATAAAGTAACAAAATAGGAGACTAACACCCAAGAATGGCCAAGATTAGTACCAGGAATTTTACTCCATGGCTTGGAGGCCAACCACACATACTAGGGGAAAAGGGAGCTCAGATACAGAAGGGAACACCAAATAAAGGTGTTGGGAGGATCCTCCCAGGATGGGAGAAGCGTGCGGAAAGTAGACTATAGACTAAACATGATTGTCACCCATTGCCTCTTTTGCAAACCACAACACCCAAAAAGAGAGAGAGAACAAAAGGGAATGCCCTGCCACAGAGGCAGGGTGGGATGGGGGGAATAGGGGATGAGAGGGATACTGGGATCCGTGGTGGTAGGAAATGGGCACCGGTGGAGGGATGGGTATTTGATCATTGTATAATTGAAACCCAAGCACAAAAATGTCTAAGTCTGCAACTGTACCTCATGATGTCTCACTATTAAAAACTTTTTAATATATAAAAAATAGAAAAATAAATTTCAAAAAAATAAATCCACTTTGAACATAAAAAAAAAAAACAGCACAAGTGAACTGAATTTAGCACCACATTAAAAGGATTATAACTATAACCAAATTAGATTTGTCTCTAGAATGTGGAGAGTGGTTAGATATACAAAAAAGAAAGTCACTAAAACAATATCATGTTAAGTGAATGTGGAAAGATATGCAAACATTTAAACATCTCAATTGATAAAGCACTTCACAGGGGCATTGGGTTCCTAGGGGAAGGAAGTGCATACACTGGTGATGGATGTGGTGTTGGAATTATGTGCATGAGTAACTATTATTAAAAGTATTAGAAACCACAGAATCTCAACTAATAAAAATTTTTTAAGGAACAAAAAGAAACAGAAAAATCACTTTGCAAAATCCAATTTATTTTGTTTTAAAAAGTACGCTTTTAATTAGGGCTAGAAGAGAGCTACCTGATTATGTGATAAGGTCAGAGTTAGCAGAGCATCATGGATATTCACACACTAAAAGAGTTTATCTCCTACATCAAGAACAAGACAATAATGCCTCTTTTACTATTTCTATCCATTACACTAATAGGGCTGGAGCGATAGCGCAGCGGGTAGGGCGTTCGCCTTACAAGCGGCCAACATGGCCAACCCGAGTTCGATTCCTCCGCCCCTCTCGGAGAGCCCGGCAAGCTACCGAGAGTATTCGATATGCCAGACACAGTAACAACAAAGTCTCCAATGGAGACGTTACTGGGCCCGCTCGAGCAAATCGACGATCAACGGGAGGGCCTTTTACACTAATAGAAATTCTCAGTAGAACAATTTGGCATGGAAGAAGATAGGAAAATAGATCACAAAAGAGAAGAGAGAAAAGAGAAAAATCATCCAGTTATAACTGGCACAATTTGCTTAGTGCAATAGAGGAGGGATTTTGCCTGTGCATGATATAGTAGCATCACTGTCACTGTTACTGTCCTCCCATTATTCATCGATTTGCTGGAGCGGGCCTACTACCATTGTGAGACTTGTTACTGTGTTTGGCATATTGAATACGTCACAGAGAGCTTGCCAGGCTTTGCCATGATCTTCCATTACTTGTAAAGAATAGTTTGCCGTGCAGGCAAGATACTCTCAGTAGCTTGCCAGGCTCTCTGAGAGGAGCAGAGGAACTGAGCTCGGGTTGACCGGGTCGGCCGTGTGCAAAGCAAACGCCCTACTGCTGTGCTATCGCTCCAGCCCATAGTAGCATAGTAAGCATGAAATAAGAATTTTGGCTCTCTGGTGGTATTTATGCTATAGAAGAATGTTAAGCATGAAATATGAATATCAATGTTTTGATACCTCAAATAACAGAGGAAAGGAAACAAATAAGCCAATAAAATACTTTGTGATATTAAATAAACTGATTAAAAATTTAAGATAAAGAAAGAGCATACATAATCCAGTTGCTTATTACGATTATCAAAGAACAATCTTACAGGAAATTAACAAAACAATTCCATTTTCAGTAAAATTTATAAAAGACATACAATGAGTTACCATTTAATATTAGAATAACTATTAACAATAATTCGCTATTATTAAAAATAAAATAGAAGAGCTGTAGGGATAGTACAGAGGGTTGTTTCCCTCGGATGCAAGCAACCCAGATGGGATCCCCAGCACAGTATACAGTATACCAAACACCACTCAGTGATCAGAATGATAAAAAACACCACTCAGGGCCAGAATGATAAAAAAGGTACTTGACTTGAATGTGTTCTACCCTGGTTTAATCAAGAGCTCCACATGTGATCCCCTGAGCACAGCAAAGACCAACCCCCGAGCAGATAGCCAGGAGTAAGCTGAAAGCCCAGACATGTGTGCCCCTAAATAAAAACTGTGGTATGTACCTACAAAAGAAGATTCATTCAGCAAAAACAATGAAACTGAGATTCATACATGCCAATTTTAAATTTTAAATTTTAAATGTTTTGTTTAGTGAAATAAGACACAGAAGGAAAATATTGCACACATCCAATTATGGGCAGTATACAAACTATAAAAAAATTAGACACAGTAGAATGGAAATTACCAAGGGGGGAATTATTGCTTTACTGTAAAGTAAAATAGTAAATGCTACGTATTGTAGACTTTTTCCATATTAGAACAAGTAGGTGAAAGTTCTATGAGGAACAACTGTAAATCTACTTTTATTTTTTATCTGTTCATCTTTTTTCTTCTTCCACTTAATTTTACATTGCCATTAATCTCTAGGAGGTAATGGCATCCACTATGTATGTGATGAGACAATAGTTATAAAAGTTTTAATGCTCCAGGACTGACTTAAAAAAAATAACAGCATTCTGGGGCTGGAAAGATAGCACAGCGGGTAGGGTGTTTGCCTTGCACACAACATACTCAGGTTCAATTTCCAGCATCCCATATGGTTCCCCCAAGCACTGCCAGGAGTAGTTCCTGAGTGCATGAACCAGAAGTAACCCTTGTGCATCGCTGGGTGTGACTCAAAAAGAAAAAAAATAGCAATCCATGATCTCAAGAAAAAGAGATACTGATATGACAATATATGCATTATCATATTTGATTAACTGAAATCATTTTTGCTTCACTAAGTTCATTTTTAATAAAGACAAGTCGATATAAACATATTATTTTCATGATTTTCAATTATGTAAAAAATTTAAGAGCCTATTTAGTTCTTGAATTTATATTGGTTTTCAACATGTGTAGATTTCAGGTGTACAGTTTCTCATTCTAGCAATATAAGTGTGTATTTATATATACATACCCATAAATATACATACTTCCACACACATTTATACACTGCATCTAACACTAAATGCCCAGTAACCAACAATAATCAAGCAATTAATTCCCTCTACCAGTTTCACCTTTCTTTTCAGTTAATCACCAATTTGTAGTCACAGTCTGAAACTTCTTTCTGCTGTGTTTACTGTGTGCCTTTCTTAAAAGGAAAAAAGCAACTGTGTTCACTTGCCTTCTTCAGAGTCCACAGATGTGCGTGGCAGCTCTCTTTTTCTGACATATTTCATGAAGGAAAAACTGAAAGACCATCTTTGCAATAACAAATGGAAAGGATTCACCATTTTCTCTTGCAGAGTAAAGTATTTCTGAAGTATGTAAGTTACTTAATCAATATTTTTTCTCTGAAAATAAGATGCTTTTTGTGAAGTGTATTATTAAAACAAGAGTTTCACAACTTGAATGCTTTTAACTGCATTTAAACTAAATTAGAAACAGCAGTATTTTTAAAACCTAAAGTTTCAATACTGAGTATGTCAAAATATCTATCTCAATCTTCAGCTTTGTGATAAATATTAAAGAATGAATAAAACCTAAAACAGAATTTTAGTTCGGAATGTGAAACTGGCCGGTATTGTATTTCTCTTCTAGCTACCAGCAATCTGTTAACTCATCTTCAAAATGCAGGCTCCACAGCAGGTGACATATCTTTTCTTTCTCTGTTCAGCTATATGAAATATTAAACACATTCAGTGGGCTTAGATGAATTCAGTCTTTGGATATTGTTGTATGATTGAATTACAAGCCTATATAATTTGCAGTATTTCGTATATTCATTTGCAAATAAGGTCTGAAATAAAACTTATTCTCTCACATAAGTGAGCGATGCAGATTGCAAGTGTACTATATATTGCTTAATGAGGCAGCTACCTCTACCATCTCATGCTGCAAATGGTAACTGTAGCCAATGCCTAATAATAACTAAGATTTCTTCATAGATACGTGCTACAATGTGTAGATAAAATTGTATTGTAATTTTGTTTTATCATTATTATTATTTTTGCTCTTTGGGTCACACCTAGTGATGCTCAGGGGCTACTCCTGGCTCTGCACTCAGGAATTACTCCTGGCGATGCTCGCGGGACCATATGGAATGTTGGGAATCAAACACGGGTTGGTCACGTGTAAGGCAAATGCCCTATACACTGTGCTATCGCTCCAACCCTGTATTATACTTTTAGGAATTAATACACATCCATGCCCATAAATTCCTGAGTAGAAGAGAAACAAGAATGAGCACACAAGAAAAATAACGTTACTTATTTTCCTCAAGGCTTGTTGGTCTACCCATCAAAAGCATACAAAAGAGAAAATGAAACACTGTGATTCAAGGCACAATTTGAGACTAATATACGCAGGCTAGGAATTAGTCAAAAACTTTAAAGGGTCTCCGAAATGAAGGATAATGTATTTTATACCATCAGGTTAGGTACAGTGGGAAGAAAAAGCCTCCAAAAGATTGGCATTTTTCTCTAAGAACAACCTATTTGTTTCGTGAAAGTGTATTCCATGTATATCCCGATCAACTCTCAGTGCAGTGAAATTTCTGAGAAAATGAAAAGGGAAGTGTGAAAAACGTTGACGTGGGAATAGGTCCCCAAAGAAGTATATTACAGGAGAGAGAAACAAATACATATGTTCATAATCTGTCACAGAATGTGCCAAACAGTTGACCATCAGAGGCAAAAAATACACTAGCTGTGTCTCATGAAAGATCCTCCCTTATCTCCCTCCTTCAAAGTCATACTCAGGAGTGGGTTGAAAACAGAATATGGGAAAACTCATTTTTTCCAAGAAGACACAAAAGCAGTTAACAGGTCCATGAAAAAAATGTGCAACATCACTTATTATCAGGAAAAGGCAATTTAAATGACAATGAGATATCACCTTGTTTCTGTGAGAATGGCCTAAATGGTATAGAACAGAAAAAACAAGGGCTGGCCCAGGAAGTGAATAAAAAGAAAACTATATTCCCTAAAGGTGGGAGTGTAAGCAGGTTCAAGTTTTGTGATAAATAGACGAAAATTTCTCAAAAAAATTAAAAGTAAAACCGTTAAATTAAAAATAGACATAAACTTAACGCCAGCGCAGGTCATCTATCCCATGGAAAAAAAAGGATACTAATTAACAAAGAAACATGCATACCTACATTTCACGGCAGCACTCTAAGATAGGCAGAAAGATAGACAGATATTTATATAAAATGGTTTCAATAGGTTTAACTGCACTGCATGGGTTTTGATGTACAAGTCACTGCAACTTTATTTAGAAAGTTACTGTCTTCCAGTCACCACTAGTCTATCTTCACTATTCACACCCCAGGAAACAAAATTGGTAATCTTAATTTTTCATTTAAAGACCAAGTGCATTCCTCTTTAGATATTCCCCATTCCCTTATTGTTTTGTCTATATATCACAAGTGACAACATCTGGGTATTTGTTCTTTTCCTGAATTATTTTACTTAGCATGTGGTCCTTCAGGTCCATAAAGTTGAAACAAACAGACTGCCACACTATTAGTAATGGACAAGATCTGGAAACAATACAAATTCCTAAAGATAGATGATTAGATAAAGAAGCTGTGGTACATATATACGGTGGGGTGCTGTAAGAAAAATGAATTTTTATATTTGTTACAAAACAGATGGACTAGAGGATACCATGGTAAGAAAAATAAGTCAGAGACAAGTTCTAAATGAACTCACTAATATTTTCTATCTAAAGAAACAAGTCCAAGGAGGTATAGACAATGCACAGTAGAAACAATTCAATAGACTTTGACCACAGAATTGAGGTTACCAAGATGGTGGAGAAAGTATGAAAAGTCCAAGAGATTTTGGTGGAGGGATACTATCACTGTGGCAACTGGCATTGTGTGGTAAAACTGTATATTTAAAATTATAAATATTTACATATTTGTAAAACTATGTTGCATGAATAAAATTTTAATGTATTCATGTCAAATTAATATTATAAATTTATTAGTTCAATAGAAAATAAGTGTGTATGTTTAAAATATATGAGGAAATCTGCAATGTCAATTTATAGTATGAAGCATAGGAATTCCCATTCCTATCAATTACAAACAATAACCAATAATTTTCTGTGATTCAGGAACAATCTAAATAGACATGACAAAAGTTTTGTAGAATATATCACTTGGCTTTTTTAAAATCCAAGTAAATTACATAGCTAAAAATCAATCAAAACTATGATTATTATGCCTTTGCTTGAAAAATTTTTTGCAGTTCTCTCCAGAAGTAAAAGCAGATGGAATAAGAAAAGCTAAAATTTCTAAATTGCTATTAGATTTTTTTGTTCTGTAAAATATATTGTCAAATCCTCATAGTGACCCTAAAATCTCAGATGAGACAGGATGAAAAACTTCTGACCAGAGTATACAGAATAATAGAGTAGAAAGAACAATGGAATAAAGGATTTGAATACAATCAAAGTAGACCTTGTTTTGATCCTCAGATCTGTTATTCTGCCACTTATAAGCTATGTGATAAAAGACAATCCTTCTAAGACTTAGTTTTCATCTCTTTACAAGGAGGGTAATAAATCTTATCTCACAGGACTGTTGTAGTATTCAATATAAAGTGCTGGATATAATTCACAGTACATGTTAAATGTGTAACCAAAAACAGCTTACATGGATCTCATGCAAGCTAATTAAACATTTGGCCTCTACGTTTACAATAATAAAATGATAATAACAAACTAAGTTAACAGAATTATTGTGATGATAAATAAATAATATTTGATTAATCATGAACAACAGGAAATGACATATCTACTGATGCTGAAACTTAAATTTTATAGAACATATATCTAAATAGGAGAATCTATCTAAAACCTATATTTTCCATGTTTAAGTTGATCTCAACATAACTAGATACACTGAATTGCACTATAAAACTATAGTAGGATTTTTCCTTAAAATTTGACTGAGAAAACATCAATATAGAAATACGACTGAAAATTAAATTAAAATGTAAGTTACCTGAATTAAAGCCTCACTCAACATAGTTTCATTAACCTCCAGAATAATGTTTTTAATATCTTCATATGGCATACGATATGATCCAAGGAAGATAGCTAAAAGTAAAAAAATAATTGTATTAAAATTTGAATGGTAATAAATTTTTGAAATATAACATATATTTGATTCTTATTTCATAGACTTAAAATATAAAATATCTATCACTAACTATATTTTATTTATAAAAAAAACCATTTTCTATTTTATGTATTATACTGGTTATCTAAAAATAGTTTGTTATATTTGATTCTGATGCTAACAGCTACTGCATATGCATAAACAAAATAAAATTACTAATTATATTACTGATAAAGTGCATGTTTCATTTAAATAGAAAATGGCCCATGAAAAGATAGAGATTTTTTTATCAGGTTGAATCCCATGTCAGCGATGTGCAAGACTATACTACATCACTGGTCCCCAGAAGGTATCTTATTTTTTTGTTTGTTTTTTGCTTTTTGGGTCACACCCAGCAATGCACAGGGGTTATTCCTGGCTCTGCACTCAGGAATTACTCCTGGCGGTGCTCAGGGGACCATATGGGATGCTGGGAATCAAACGCAGGTCGGCTGCATGCAAGGCAAACGCCCTACTTGCTGCGCTATTGCTCCAGCCCCCAAGAAGGTATTTTAAACAATAAATTCCACTTGAACCTCAAAAGAACATGTGTGGATTTATCATCGAACACAAATGTCACTAAAACAGTTTTTATTAACAGCAACGTGTGACACTGGAACTTAAAAACAAAAGTTTATCTGTCCAGAAAATGATGATCTATACATAAATGGTAAATAAAATCCGTTATGCACAAATCCTATTGCCAATCGTATTTTAAGTCACAATGTCAAAAGTTATTAAAAAGTGCCTCTCACAGAGGCAGGCAGGTAGACTGGAGGAAAACACGTGGGGAAGCAGGGGAACGTGATTTGTAGAGGTGAAGTGGGTACTGGTGAAGGAACTGGTGTTGAAACACTGTATTCCCCAAGCCAATCAGGAATAACTTTGTATACCACAACAAATTAATTTGAAAAGCACTATAACCTAAATAAATAACATTTATGTCAGCTAGCAAATACAAGAGTACTATAGGCTTTTTGTTCTTTGTGGAGGGTAGTGCTGTGGGCCCACAGGTTGTTGTCCAGTATGTAGCCGTAAATCTGTGCTCAGGGATCACTCTTGGCAGTGTCCAGAGGACCAAATGAAGGTACTGGGATTGAATCTGGGTTGGTCAACATAAAGCACATGCCTTCATTCCTGTACTATTGTTCTAGGCCCCAGACTGCAGGTGTTTTATTTAAAGCAGTAATGCACAACCATTTTATAATTAAAATGCACTGCCAGGTAAGCAATGTACACACTTAAAATAGCTACAAGGAGATGATTCTGATGCAAACACAATTGACATGAGAACAAAAAATTGTTTATTTTAACCTGCTTTCATTTAATATATTCCCCAACAAAATTAACTCTCATGGTATTTCTTGGCAAAACTAGAAATACCTGTTGTGTAAAATATTTCAGATATAGTGTTTTTGTATCCTCAGAACATAAACCCTAAACACTACGGTGGTGATATAAATAAAAGGGATGAATTCAACACAGAAGGGAGAATATGTCAAATTAAAACTTAAGGCCTACTTAAATAAATATGAGTTTAATAGTATGCTACAGAAAAAGCATATTTCATAGCTGGCTGATTTGTAAAAGGCTTTAGGTTTCACTAAGCCACGTTAAAGTACAGTGGTTAACAATATAACTTACATAATTATTACTTCAAATAAAAAACAATAGGAGTAAAGGGATTTGCCAATATAAATAATGAGTATCCAAGTACTATTAATCTCAGGCCTATTCAGAAGGAAAGAAAGCCCATAATTTGTAAAACTCACCTATGTTTCTAACAATTCCAAATTATCAGTACCTTCTCAGACCTTTGTATTCAGAGTTTTAACAGGCCTGACCAAAGCTAACCCACTGACTAAATAATAGTAACTGTAATCTGCATCATGATTCATAGAATTTTTCTTCTAGTAAGCGCTTCATTTATCCATTAAAAAAGTTGTAACTTCCTTTTATTGAAACCAATAGCCCCTCCACACCAAAATTATCCCGCCCTTACTAAGAAAATACATACACAGATTCTGGGCAGTTTTGGCATCTAAAACTCTCAATTCTTTCACTTTCTTCTTCGTAGAAATGGGCTTTTTTTCTTCTGGAGTGTCTGCATTCTTTTGGGCTGAAAGAAAAATTTTGATCAATTTTTCTTTAATTTTTAGAAACAGCAATAGTACTAACCCTAATATACATAATAACAATAGCAAGGCACATTATCTACATCAATAAAGTCCATTCCAATATTAGCACATGTGTTTATCTCATTAGTTTGAGTTAGAGAAAAATCGTCAAAAAATAAAAATTAAAAATATATACATATAAAATTGTTTACATGTCCATATAAATCAAATGGCAGTATATAAGAAGAAATTTTAAGCCAAACAAAACTAAAAAAAGAATTCTAACTTCTTATCTAATGCATATTAGTTACCACTTTAACAGATAACTCCACAGCAGAAATAGATTTAAATATATGATAAAAGCTCTCTAATTGAATAAAAATGCATATACCTTAAAATATGTTAGAAAAGAGGTGTCATTAATTCAATGAAATTGCTTTAAAGTACCAAAGGTAAATTTAAATGCCAAACAGGTTGTCATATGAAGATTCCTACTGAGATTACTCTGAATAACGAATAGGAACCATTTGCAAGCTGTAGAATAATAATACCCATACCTATTTTCACACATATTAATTAATGATACTAAAAGTCTTTTAGGTAAGTAGTTACCTCTGTCTCCCTTAACATTTCTATAGTACAGTGTGTTCTCTAGAACATTTGCTTTCTCTTTACTCAGAGAGTAATGTCTAGTGTGTAACAGTTAAAATTATCAAAAAATATGAGGAAAGTCGGTACAAGTATTCGTTTTAGCTTACAAGCATCTATATCATATCTTTTCTAATATACCATCCAACTAAAAATCCAAAAGGAATTGCTGTCCTACAATGAAAACAATGCTTAAGGACAAATATTTAGTCCCACTACAATGATTACTATCATAACCATTGTATTGTGTTAGTAGTTGTTTGAGTGTATCTTTTACTCAAACCCACACTATTAAATTATATCACTTCATGAAATGGTTATACTTCATTTTCATGATTGTAAATAATTTTACAGTCAGGGAGATGACTTAAAGGACTTAAATGCATGTTTTGCTTGTAAGATACAAGGATTCAATTCTGGACATCATATGGTTTTCTGAGCACTCCTGGCAGTAAAAACCTAAAGATAAAGACTGAAGTAAACAACAAATACAATTGGGCTTGGCCCCAAACAAAAAATACATTTTTACTCAGAAACAATAATTACTTTTATTGCACAGCGGGTAGGGCGTCTGCCTTACAAGCGGCCAACATGGCCGACCCGAGTTCGATTCCTCCGCCCCTCTCGGAGAGCCCAGCAAGCTACCGAGAGTATTCGATATGCCAAACACAGTAACAACAAAGTCTCCAATGGAGACGTTACTGGGCCCGCTCGAGCAAATCGACGATCAACGGGAGGGCCATTATTGTAGTTAATTACACTGCAAAAGAGTTACTGATTTTCTTTACAAGATAACCAATATATTGGGGGTATGGTGCCGCCAGCAGGTCAATCTGTACCTGTGAGGCGAGTGCAACAGCAGCCTGATGGTGCCTTCAGACTTCCAGATACCACAAAATTCCTGCTGTGCATTTGGCCAGACCCCAAAAACTTGGGACACAGTTTACCAAGAAAGTAAACGGCCAAAAGTTAGGTATGTGGGAGACACACCCACAAAACACCTCTGGCTCAGCTATATAATTGGAGGCATGGCCTCTCTGGTTCCTGATTGAACTGCTTAAGGGCCATGAACTCAGAGTCAGAGACAAGTCTTGAAGCCCAGGGGGTTTTGGCAGAAATGTGTCCAGTCCCTGCAGTAAGTTATAGGTGCTGGGCCACCCCAGGTAGGAATAGGTTTCTGCCTTGGCCTGTTCTCCCTGGAGGCCTGGTGGCCACCATCCTCCAGAGGCCACTGGACAGTCAGGTTTGGGCCCACAGTGACGAGACATGTGGCACCTCATGGGATGGGGGTGGAGCCGGCATATTCCTCCCCACCCCAAAAGACCCCAAGTAAACGCACACAAACAGCCTCTCTGGCTCTTGATCAAGCTGCTTAATGGCCATAATCCCAGAGACTCAGAAACAAATCTCGAAACCCAGCGGGTTTTGGCAGAAATGTGTCCAGAGCACGCAGTAGGTTACTGTCGCCGGAATACCTCAGGGGGGAAAGGGTGCTGTCACTCAGCCTGCTCCCCCTTGGTGGTTTGATGGCCGCCATCCTCCAGAGGACATTGGACACTCAGATTGGGCCCCCAGTGACAAGACATACGGGGCATTATGGGATGGGTGTGGAGCTGGCCCTTTCCCTCCCACCCCAATGAACGACATCTCTGGCTCCTGATCAAGCTGTTTAATGGCCATGATCCCAGAGACTCAGAAAAAATCTCGAAACCCAGCAGCTTTTGGCAGAACTGCATCCGGACACGCAGTAGGTTATTGTCACCGGACCATTCCAGGGGGGAAAGGGTGCTGTCCCTCTGCCTGCTCCCCCTTGGCGGCTCAGTCGACACCATCCATCAGAGGCCATTGGACAGTCAGGTTTGGGCCCACAGTGATGAGACACGAGGGATGGGTGCGGAGACAGTAATGTGGAAATCGTGTGCACCTTAGGTAGGAGGAGGGTCTGGGATGGGGGTATACTGGGGTTTTGGATGGTGGAGAATGGGCTCTGGTGAAGGTACGGGTGTTTCACTGTATGACTGAGACCAATATATAACCAATATAATTTTGTTAAAATATCATGTATTGAACTTACTATCTGGAAAACTTTACAGATGTGTTATAAAATATATAAAAATATTTCAAGTTCACTAAGATAATCTCAGGTATAATGCCATAAAATTAGAAATATAGTGCTTATGCAAAATGACTAAAGAAATTTTTTGAGCAACTGGAGATGTAAAAAATCTAAATTTTGGCCATCTTTGAAGCCTTAAGCATAAGAGAAAGAACACATGGAGGGTGCGGGATCCCGGAGGAAAAAAAAAAAAGAAAAAACAGGTTCCAAAAAGAGCCGAGTTCACCTGCAAGTTCCAGATGGAGTAGGTGCCGCATCCCACCTCCCCCAGATGGAACCCCGGTGACCAGAAGCCTCTACAAACACAGCTCGAGTATGCGGGAACGAGGACTTTTTCTCAAAACCGCGCGGCCGCTTATGCGGCCGCGCAACATCTCTCTATATGCAAAGTGATCAATGAGAAGTAAACCACCCAATCTTTCTCCCTGAAAGCCAGAGTTAAGTTTGGAGCACGGCCACAGCCCCAGAAACACAAGGACTTAATGCAGAACCCAGCAGCTTAGAGCAGAAAAGTGAAAGGACTATGCGTTAATCCAGGCCATCAAGTCTGCCGGAGGGGAAAGGGTGTTGCCCCATTCGCCCTCTCTTCTCTGGAAAGAAGGATGGCGGCCGCATGGGAGCCTTGTGGACAGCAGGTATGAGCCGGGAGTGTGGGGGCGACTAAAACCTCATGGGAAGGGGGGCGTTCCGGTCCGTCCTTCACGCCCTACCGAGGTCACCAGTTGCCCCCCACGAGCGGCTCTCCAGCACGGCCACAGCCCCAGAAGCACAAGGGCTTAATGCAGAACCCAGCAGCTTGGAGCAGAAAAGTGAAAGGACTATGCGTTAATCCAGGCAATCATTTCTGCCCAGAGGGGAAAGGGTGTTGCTCCCTTCCGCCCTCCTCCCTCTGGAAAGAAAGATGGCGGCCACATGGGAGCCTTGTGGACAGCAGGTATGAGCCGGTGGTGTGGGGGCGACTAAAACCTCATGGGAAGGGGGGCGTTCCGGTCCGTCCTTCACGCCCTACCGAGGTCACCAGTCACCCCCCACGAGCGGCTCTCCAGCACAGCCACGGCCCCAGAAGCACAAGGACTTAATGCAGAACCCAGCAGCTTGGAGCAGAAAAGTGAACGGACTATGCATTGACCCAGGCCATCAAGTCTGCCGGAGGGGAAAGGGTGTTGCCCCATTCGCCCTCTCCTCTCTGGAAAGAAAGATGGCGGCCACATGGGAGCCTTGTGGACAGCAGGTATGAGCCGGGAGTGTGGGGGCGACTAAAACCTCATGGGAAGGGGGGCGTTCCGGTCCGTCCTTCACGCCCTACCGAGGTCACCAGTTGCCCCCCACGAGCGACTCTCCAGCACGGCCACAGCCCCAGAAGCACAAGGGCTTAATGCAGAACCCAGCAGCTTGGAGCAGAAAAGTGAACGGACTATGCGTTGATCCAGCCCATCAAGTCTGCCGGAGGGGAAAGGGTGTTGCCCCATTCGCCCTCTCCTCTCTGGAAAGAAAGATAGCGGCCACATGGGAGCCTTGTGGACAGCAGGTATGAGCCGGGAGTGTGGGGGTGACTAAAACCTCATGGGAAGGGGGGCGTTTCGCTCCGCCCTTCACGCCCTACCGAGGCCACCAGTTGCCCCCCACGAGTGGCTCTCCAGCACGGCCACGACTCCAGAACACAGAAACCAATTTCTTAACTATCTGACTTTCAGTAGAAATACTTCCAGGGTCAATAGGTAAAATAGCAGAAATCCAAAACCAACATTTAATTCTTGAACCCAGCTGTAGAAAGCAAATCCCTTCACAATGCTTTTTCAGCATGTCTGATTTGGGGGGGGGGGGGGTAAACTCTAAATAATAGTGGTGAATCTTTTATTGAAACAATCTAATCAAAGCGGATAGAGTGTTAACTAGAATTCATCTGCCTCACAGGGACGGGGAGGGGTGGGGGGTGGGGTTTTATTGGGGTTCTTCATGGGAAAAAATAAGTATTGGTAAAGGGAAATGTGTTTGATATTTGCATGACTGAGACATAAACCTGAAAGCTTTGTAACCTTTCCCACAGTGATTCAATAAATAAATAAAAAAAAAATCTAAATTTTATCAATATGAAATAAAGTGATATAAAAATATAAGCAGATTAAAAAATTATACTTCAAAATCATGAACAAATAAGTAGTTTGCCATATTTTCTCAATAGTATAGTTACTTGTACTACTGAAACAAAAAGTATTTTTAATATATAGCTATTAGTCA